GTCTACGCACAGTTGACTAATATCATAAACGAGAGGTTCAGTATGATATCTCGTAACATCACTTAAGTTTGCTAGCATATGAGAACTTTGTTTTTGGCCGTTGCAAGGATTTCGCCACTAGGAAAGGTCATTTCGTCAATGTAGTGTCACTGTCCTGTAAAAATAGTGAGTTACGAAGGCGTGGTCGTGTTTTCCTTCCAACCACAGGTCTTTTCATTCAGTCCTAAGGAAAGGTAATTCCTTGTATGAAGTAGCTTTTTGCGAGTATTTGCGGCTTCACTTCATTAGTTATTGATCTATTCTTAGTTTTGTACTATGCGTCATTCTTGAAAATGGCACCCACAAACTTTTGGTCTCTCTGTTTTGCTCCGCTAAAACGTGCAGTAAAACCATCAATCAGTGATGGCACGGATTCAACAGAATTACATGAGCTGCATTTAGCCACAAACCGACTTTTTAGGAACTGCATAAAATAGGAGGAAATTACCAGCCGACCGCACGCTACCATTGTTTCCTTGATGCTTCACGAAACGTTCGCACTCCAATCACCGTGCTCGGCGGACAACAGCATAGCATCGCTTGAAGAGGGACCTTATAAACGAGCGATTTAGGTGAGTCTCCCGGGAAAACCAAATTGGTATGCAGACAGGTTGTCGGTATTGAAAACCAAATTGGTATGCAGACAGGTGTAGTTGTCAGAATTCACATTTCAGGGCCTGTTCTGGATCATCAGAAATTATATTCATTTCACCTTGCCTCTCGGGTGAAATGAGGTCAAGGTCGCAGCTGAAAGCTTCAAACACGTTTGCATTTGTGTACCGCACTAAAGGTAGTATGTTTTCTGCTCAGTTGTCGGAGGATTTCGCCGGTATGGAGAAGTTCGCTTGTAAAACCAAGGCTATTATTAAGAGTAAATTCCCGGCGTAAAGATTTCTAATCACTGCTTTCTTATTCCTGATGTTGTTGAGAGGAACTACAGCAAGGCAAAACCTAGCTTTTCTGCAAGTAATGTTAACATTGGTACGGCCACACATGTGACTGAATTATAGTAGGTGTGCACCCACTGCACACCCATTGCAACGATATATTTGAGGACAAAACACTCTTGATCATATCAAAGGGGAGGCTGAGAGATGATCAACCTATTTGTATAGTTCCTCCTCTGTAGCGACCGTATGCAATTTGGCTTCGAGCAGAACATAAAGTTGATGGAAACTCAGGGACTGCATCTACTTGATGAACCCCCAAAAGGGCGAAATCGGTCTTGGGCTGTCGCAGTTTTTTCAGCAACCTTGTGAGTAGTTTTTTATTTCGTGAAATCTGTTCTACCGTTTATTTTGTTTGTTTGAACCATTCTGGTTCACTTTGTGTGTCATAGATGCTTGTTGATACCAGGTCACATTCACAGCTAAATGAAGACATTATTCGGGTACTAATTTTGGCAGTAAAGGATGAAAAACAATTTGAGGACCGGAATGTATGCTCTATCAGAATTGGGGATCGTTACGCACTACAGGCAACTGACAACCAGAAAATTAGGCGTCTTCCGAAACTCATGGTTTTGACAAGGATGAACTTTACGGCTTTGAAAATCAGAAACGTAAGCAACTACAAGCATTTGTTTATAATCCCATTGCATTTCTGGCCCTCAATCAGGTGAAAAATACTTGGAACCGACTGAGTTTTCTCGTTTTCGAAAAAGTTTTGGTGGTAATCGGTAGATTTATTGCTGGGCAACGTTTCGCTTTTGACAAAAGTTTTGTCAGGCCAAGTGACTAGGCTCCGAGGTTGGTCGAGATTTAAGGCGGAAGGAGAACCAATCAGCTAAGTCAAGCTAAATCTCTGTTGGGTGTCGGTCGAAGGATTTTTTTTTGTGTTAGGGTGGGTGAAACTACATGTGTTTGGGTCCAGCCTAGGGTCTAGTTTTTCTTGTTCGGTCCATTTGAACGTCGTTTGAACTCTCTGTCCGTCTGTGTGGATGAGCTAGTGCTAAGGTAGTTGCGTAAGAGGGATGCTGCGAACTTTGGTCAGGTTGAGATTTCCACCCCCACCCCCCAGTTTTTGCTAGTGATTCCACGCCGATTGACAACCAAACAGTCACGTGTCAACTCGGCTTATCTACGACCGCTTTCCATACGCTCGCCAGTTCCACACCCTCGATTCTATCCACGCTGTGATGCTTA